GAGAGGTTAGCTGAGATCTATAATCGGGAGATTGTTCGCCTTCATTGTGTGTCAATATCTATCATTTCGGACTAGGGTACGCAGTTTACCTCGCGCTTCCGTAGAGCAGTTCAGCGAGAGTTAAGCATACGGGTTGAGTTGAGCACAACATTTCATCCACAGAGGGACAGTCAGTCCGAGTTGACTATTCAGATTTTGGAGGATATTCTCTGAGCGTGTGTTATTGACTTTGGAGGTTCGTGGGATCAATTTTTGCCTCCAGCAGAGTTTGACTACAACAATAGATACTAGTCGAGTATCCAGATGGCTCATTATGAGGCTTTATATGGTAGACGATCTCGGTTTCTGATTGGATAGTTTGAGCCGGGAGAGGCTGGGTTGTTCGGTACAGATTTTGTTCAGGAGGCCTTGGACAAGGTCAGAATCATTCAGGATAGACTTCGTTCAGATCAGTCCAGGAAAAATAGCTATGCATACTGCAAGGTTCGAGATGTGGCTTTTAGGGTTGGTGAGCGGGTATTGCTCCGAGTGTCGCCTATAAAGGGCGTAATGGGGTTTGGGAAGAAGGGAAAGCTTAGCCCTAGGTTGATTGGGCCGTTTGAGATTCTCAATTGAGTGGGAGAGGTGGCTTATAGACTTGCTCTGCTTCCGAGCTTATCAATCGTACATCCACTATTTTATGTGCCCATGCTTCGGATGTATCACGACGATCCAACCCATATGTTAGATTTCAACACTGTCTAAATGGTCAAGGACTTGTCTTTTGAGGAGGAGCCGGTAGCTATTCTAGACCATCAGGTTCGTCAGTTGAGATCTAAGAGTTTCCCTTCTGTTCGTGTTCAGTGGAGAGGTCAGCCTCCTGAGGCATCGACTTGGGAGTCCGAGTCTGATATGCAAAGCCGTTATCCTCATCTTTTCCCCTACTCATGTACTTTCTTCTTCTATCCATTCGAGGACTAACGGCTATTTTAGAGGTGGAGAATGTGATGACCCAAAGGGTTCATCACCTGTTTTAATTAATTATGCGCTTCCAAGGACTTGAAAACATCATTTAGAGTCACATCGATTTGCATGTGCAGTCCGGGCGCATAGCCGGAAAGCTTAAATATGAAATTTTACGAAAAATGTAAAGTTTTTATATTAAAATGAATAAATTTGACTTTGGTAAACTTTTTGGATAAACGAATCCAGACCTGTGATTTGACGGTCCTGGAGGGTCCATAGGAAAATATGGGACTCGGGTGTATGCCTGTAATCGAATTTCGAGATCTCGAGCCCGAGAAATAAATTCTTAAAAGAAATTGTATTTCTGAAACTGTTAAGGAAAAATTGAAATGATATTTGATTGAAACATGTTAAAATCCGGCCCGTATCTTAGTTCCGGTGCCCGGTACAGGTCTTATATATGAATTAAGATATTTTTGTGAAATTTGGTTAAAATCGGATGCCGTTAGACGTGTTTCAGACTCGAAATCCTAAATTTTTAATTTGATGAAGTTTTGGAAAAAATACTTTGAATTTGAGGTTTAAATTGTTTATAATGATGTTAGTTAGGCGATTTCATTATACAATTAAGTTTGTATGGTGTTATTGAGTTAGTACATGTGTTTGGTTAGGAGCCCCGGGGGCTCGGGTGTGTGATGGAGGTGTTCGGGATGGTTTAGACTTAGACATAGTTGGAGAAAGTAGTAATTCTGGTGTCTGATATTTTATTCTATGCGATCGCATAGGCATAATCGCGATCGCATGGTGTAAGCTTCCAGGTGCCCAGTTTTGTTCTATGCGATCGCATAGAGTCATCCACGATAGCGTAACTTAGCCACAATTCATTCAATGCAATCACAATTCATTAAACCAAACCTGAAAAATGCGAAGTCTTTTCTTCTACGCGTTCGCAATACACTGTTCGCGATCGTGATGGCCAACCTTCCTATCCGTATGCGATCGGATGAGCTTCTCCGCGATCACATAGGTTATTTTTCTACCCAGTTATATTTTTAAACTTCAGAAACAGTAAATATAGGATTTCACCAAGTCTTCACAAAAATTTCTTCTCCAAGCTCTTAGGCGACCATTGAAGCAATCCTTCACCAAAACCTCGTGGGTTAGTAATCTTAAACTCGTTTTCTTCATTTTTTCATCAACATATATTGAAATTCAAGGCCTAAAGCATGTGATTAAGGGTAGAAATTTGAGAATTGTGTAGAGTTAAAGCTTTTTAACTTTTCTTGATTTAGAACTAATTTTTGGGTCTAATTCGAAAATAAATTATATATTTGGGCTCGTGGGTGAATGGGTGATTTGATTTTGGTCCGAACCTCGTGTTTTGACCAAGCGGGCCAGGTGTCGATTTTTGTGATTTTGGGAAGAATGATGAAAAAGCTATAATTAGGCATTCGGTTCGTATTGTTTAGCATTTATTAATGTATTAATGTCATTATTGTATTGATACAATTGATTTGGATCCGAATTCGAGAGGTAAAGCGGTTATTGAGGATTGAATTAACAGCGGAAGCTTGAGGTATGTGCTTGGTCTAACCTTAGCTTGAGGGATTTGGTGTTGAGTCCTATTTTCTATGTGGTAATTGTCGAGTACGACGTATAGGCATGGTGACGAGTATCTATATGTTGGTGTCTAGCTTGACCGTGAGTCTTTAAGTTGTGCAGTAACTATAGGATTTCACCAAGTCTTCACAAAAAATTTCTTCTCCAAGCTCTTAAGCGACCATTGAAGCAATCCTTCACCAAAACCTCATGGGTTAGTATTCTTAAACTCATTTTCTTCATTTTTTCATCAACATATATTGAAATTCAAGGCCTAAAGCATGTGATTAAGGGTAGAAATTTGAGAATTGTGTAGAGTTAAAGCTTTCTAACTTTTCTTGATTTAGAACTAATTTTTGGGTCTAATTTGAAAATAAATTATATATTTGGGCTCATGGGTGAATGGGTGATTTGATTTTGGTCTCGTGTTTTGACCAAGCGGGCCTGGGGTCGATTTTTGAGATTTTGGGAAGAATGATGAAAAAGCTATAATTAGGCATTCGGTTCGTATTGTTTAGCATTTATTAATGTATTAAAGTCATTACTGTATTGATACAATTGATTTGGATCCGAATTCGAGAGGTAAGGCGGTTATTGAGGATTGAATTAACAGCGGAAGCTTGAGGTATGTGTTTGGTCTAACCTTAGCTTGAGGGATTTGGAGTTGAGTCCTATTTTCTATGTGGTAATTGTCGAGTACGACGTATAGGCATGGTGACGTGTATCTATATGTTGGTGTCTAGCTTGACTGTGAGTCTTTAAGTTGTGAATATCTTTATTTCGTTGTATTTCTCTTGCCTTGATGATAATTCCTATTTGTTGTGAAAACCTTGTCAAAGAAAATTGCGACCTATGAACGTTGATGAGCATTGGCTCAAGTTATATTACAATTGTCAAAGTATATGAAATAGTTGAACCATTTGGAGCATTGGCTCAAGTGGTAAAGTGAGATATGAAGTAAAAGTAAAAGAAAGATAAAGAGTATTTAAATTGTTCCTTTGCCGGGATATTATTGCTTATTGATTATTTTCCCTTGTCGGGACGTTAAGATTATTGATGTTGTATCCTTGCCAGGATTTAATTGTTTATTTGTGTTCCATTGCTGGGATTTCTATTATTATTTTGTTTACTCCATTGCCCCTTGTTTGTGATTTTTGTTTGGGTGAGGAAGAGTGTTAAAGCATGGGGGGTGATGTCGTGTATTGTTTGTTATTGTGAGGAAAGAGTGTTAAATAACGAAGGGTGATGCCATGCCACATGATGTACCATTACGTGCCAATTCTATTGATTACATGTGAGGAAAAAGAGTAAAACCAAGAAGGGTGATACCGTGTATATTTTTATTTATACCACTGCTTGGTAAAGATGAGAGTAAAAGCACGAAGGGTGATGCCGTACACCTTTTATTATATTATTGCTTGGTGAGGATGAGAGTAAAAGCACGCATGGTGATGCCGTGCACTTATTGACTTCTGATTTTTCATTGATGTCTGAATTATGTTGCTTTCTTCGTTAATTGATGGTTTTATTCGGAGTTGTTATTTTCCCTACAGCATTCTCCCCCTCCCCTATTGACTGGTTAATTCCTATATTCCTCTTCCTCTGTGTGTGTGTATATATATGTATATATATACATATATATATATGTATGTGTGTGTGTGTGTGTATTTTTATATAAAGTTTCAAAAATTTTATGATGAATGTTAATCGTTTGTACTTTTAGTACAGTTCTTTACCTTTACATTTTAGTTTGATTGATAATTTTCTTTTGTTAAGTGTAAGAATCCATTTCATGTTAAAAAATATATATTTTTAATTGAGTCCTTAAATTATTCAACACTATTTTGATTCAATTATCATCAATATATCTTAGTAAATAATAGATTTCTCAAAGGGCAATTGATTTGATAGTGTTACATTAAAAATGTGATCGCCGGAATATGTGTTTAGTAGTGTATGTCTTATATTTAAGAAAAAACCGACAAATAACCGAAAAACCGACAAAACCCGACATAAACCGAATCGAGAAAAAACCGACTTAATTGGTTTGGTTATAATATTTGAAAAACCGACTTACTTGGTTTGATTTCTTTTTAGGAAAAAACCGATCCAAACCGAACCATGAACACCCCTAATGACCACCAGATTTGATCCTTTTTGTCGTGTAAAGAGAGAATAGTCATTATGAGACTGTTTGAACCCCATATCCAACAGAGCTTCTGTTAACTTCAAGTTCCACTGTCTAGGAGCTTGTTTGAGCTCATACAAGGACTTGTTGAGCTTGCATACCTTCTGATACTCCCCTAGCTTGAAAAGCCATCTGGAATTTGCATAAAGACTTCTTCAGAAAGATCCCATTGGAGAAATGCATTATGCACATCCATCTGAAATAAGTACCAGTGAGAAGCTGCTGCTAGAGCCACCACAGACCTTACTGTAACCATTTTGGCCACAGAAGAGAATGTCTCATTATAGTCCAATCCTTTCTGTTGACTATAGCCTTTTGCTACAAGCCTGACTTTATATCGTTCAACCTCTCCATTTGATTTGTATTTCACCTTGAGCACCCATTTTCAACCAATGAGAGATTTTTCCTGAAGCAAGTCAACTATGTCCCAAGTTTGGTTTTCTTCAAGTGTTGCTATTTCTGCCTTTATAGCATCAACCTAGAGAGGATCTTTGCATGCTTCAGCATAGGATGAAGGCTCAAGAACTGCTTAGTAAGCAGCCAAGGAAGCTTTGTTGGTAGGGAAGAGGTGATCATAACAAATATAGGAGGAGATAGGATAAGGGCATGAAGACAGCTTAGACTTCACTACATAGTCCTGCATCCACACAGGTGGTTTAGAGGGTCTAGAAGATCTTCTGTGATCCTCTACAGCTGGCTGAACCACAGGCTGAGAGGGTAATAAAGAACTGGGAGAAGAAGAAGGAGAGATACCAGGAGAATATGGTGGAAGAGAGATACCAGGAGAAGCAGGAGAAGAAGAGGAAGGAAAAGTCTCCTCAGAAATGGCAGAGGATACAAGATCAGACATTTTAAGTTCTAGAATAGGAAATAAAGATGTGATCTGAGACTTCATATCTCTGAAAGAAAAGATGTCTTCCTTGAAGACTGTATCTCTACCAACAAAAAAGTCTTTACTACTGAGATCATACAAATGATAGCCTTTTTGAGTAACAGAATACCCCAAATGCATAACAGGTATTGCTCTAGGACATAACTTGTCAGTTTTCTTCACATTAGTGGCATAACATAAGCTACCAAATATCTTTAAATGCTGTAAGGAAGGAGCTTTGGAAAACAGTTGCTCAAATAGAGATTGGCCCTATAGAAGAATGGTAGGTAGCCTATTCAAAAGATACACTGCAGTTGTGACACATTCTCCCCAAAACTTTAAGGGAATGAATGCCTAAAACCTCAAGGCTCTAACCATATCCAAGATATATCTGTGTCTTCTTTCTACCACCCCATTCTGATGAGGTGTGTAGATGCAACAACTTTGATGAATCACTCCATGTTCCTTAAGTAGCTGATTTACCTGCTCATTGAAGAACTCGGATCCATTGTCTGTTCTGAAACACTTAACAACACAATTAAAATGAGTATTGATCAATACAAGAAAATCTCTTAGAATAACAACAGAGTCAGACTTATTATTCATTAAAAAGATCCAAGTATATCTTGAGTAGTCTTCTACCAGGGTCATGAAGTATCTCTTACCATCATGTTTTGGAACTCTATATGGTCCCCAAACATCAACATGCATGGATAAGATCAAATGCAGAAATATAACTACTATTACTTAAGAAAAAGGGTAATTTTATTTGCTTGGCAATAGGACATACAGTACAATTGTGATCTTTCACATGTAAGTTTTTCAGAGTACTAATACTTCCCAAAACTTTCAAAGGTGGATGTCCAAGCCTCCTATGCCACAAAGATATGCTATCACAAGATGTATGTTCATCCTCAGTTTTATTCTTAGTACTGAAACTAAAAATGTTATTTACACATGAGCTATTTACATATGAGGCAGGCAGACTATGTTTACTGGCAGAATCAAGATTGAGTCCTCCTTGTGAACTGGCTTTCAGTATATAGAGACTCTGATCCTCCCTACCAATCCCTATCACCTTCCCACCAAAGAGTTCCTGAAATAAATAGAAATCAGAAAAGAATACTGCTAGACATTTTAGCTCTTTGATGATCTTAGAGATTGATAACAAATTATACTTGAAGTATGGAATGTATAGAACATTATGAAGAGTTCTATCTTGAAAAATATATGAATCACCAGTTTTCTGAATAATTACTTGTTCTCCAGTTGGTAGATGTACTTTGTTTATTTCCAAACCTGTCAACTCCTTGAATTTACTAAGTAACTCCAAGTTGTGTACTATGTGGTTAGTAGCCCATGTGTCAACTATCCAGTTATTGTCAACTAGATTAGACATAAGGGATGTAGTAATACCTGCAGGTCCTACTTTAGATGTGTTGGCTACATGTTCAACTTCTTTTCCTTGGTTCAGCATTTGCAAAATCTGAGAGTATTGTTCTGGCATGAAGAATTGAGCAGGTGATGAGAATTGTGTAGTTGAAGAGCTCCCAGCATCCTGACAACTAGACTAAGACAGATTCTGCTGCATATCAAGTGCTGAAGATGTTGAATTAGTATTGATCACATTGTTGGCATAGTTGTTAGGTCCTCATCCTTTCTTTTATACTTGAAATCAACTGGATAACCATGTTGCGTATAGCAACTATCCTTTGTGTGACCCTTGAACTTGAAGTATTCACAATAAGGGGGAACCTTCCCATTCCCATAGTTGTTTCTAGGTCTGTAGCCACCTCTACTTGCTCCTCTATTGCTTAGGAGTGCAGCATGTTCTCCAATTTCAGTACCAACACCACTAGTATTCCCTCCACCTGTTTTCATTTGGCTCTCAACATTAACAATCATAACATAAGCTTGGTTTATGTTTGGCAGTGGTCTAATCATGAGAATTTGATTCTTAGCATTCTCATAAGACTTATGTAAACCTGACAGGAATTGATACAATTTTTGAACTCTATAATATTCAGCATGTTGCCTAGACTCAGGGCATCCACAAGAGGGTGAAGGATCCAGAGTTTCATAGTCATCCCACAGTTCACGTAATCTCGAAAAATACACAGATACTGAAGACACTCCCTGAATAAGTGTGGCAATTTCCTTATGCAAATAACAGGCTCTAGATGCATTCACTTTTTCAAACCTCTCTCTTAAGTCTTCCCACACCTTATATGCATTAGAAGCATATATTATTGTGCTAATTAGACTTGGAGAGACTGTGTTCATTATCCATTCTAACACAATTGCATTACACCTATCCCACAACTCGTGTAGGCTAACATCATACATCTCCTTTCTACAGGTTCCTAACACAAATCCTAATTTGTTTTTACAGTGAAGAACAATTTTCATAGATCTACTCTAAATCGAGTAATTTTTAGAACCTTGAAGTTGAATTGAGATAAGAACAGAATCTTAAGTGTCTGAAGGATAAATGTATAGCGGATGATTGTGATGAACAAGCTCTAGGTTCTGTGGTTAAGCAGCTGGTGTACCTGAGGTTTGAGCAAATGGTATTTCTTCATTTGTCGGCATTATTGAGATGCAATTTCAGCAGAAACGCCTCAAAATCACAATCGAGCACTGGATTGTACTCGCAATTTTTCAAAGGAAACAAGCTGCTCGTTGAGTTCCATCCAGATACAAAAAAAGCCCTAATTTTGGAACTTTTGCTCTTAGCTGAGAAATTGACTCAACGAATGTTGCTTGACACTCGTCTACTACTTGCTGAGCTGAAGGATCTAACGCACAACTCTGATACCATATTGAAGAGCTCAACTATGGAGTCTAACGAGTTCAAACACAGAAGATATTGGAGAGAAGAGAGAAGAGAGGTTCCATTAGAAGAACAGTAAAAACGAAATTTGTACAGTAATATAACTAACGAACTAACTACTACTTATACAACTAACAACCTACCTATCTTAACTTAATTAAAACTGTTAATTACAGCTCATTGACAGTTGTACACCTAGTGTGCACAAAGTGCTCACCCGAAGGGCAGAGGTTGTGGCAGAGGTTGTAGCGACTGCGAGTTTCCCCTCTTACCAATATATATATATA